AAAGTCAACTACAACTCAGAGCAGCCCTATTAAGAACAGATCAAAACCCTGTCCTCTCCCGCACCACCTTCATCGTCCTCACCACGCTCCGTCTCCTTGGTGAATTCACTGTGCCAAACCATCTCCGTGAGGGTCCTCCTCTGACCCTCTACGTTCCCCAGCAGGATATCTTTTTCAAATGACTGGCCCCGGATAACGTGCCTAAAGTATGTTTCACCAAAGAAGTTTCACCTTCTTTGCCTCCAAGGAGCATCATGGCTGCACTTTCAAGACAGATTTGGTTTTTTGCCGTCAACACTACTAACCAACAGCAAAATTCAAAAGCATCAATCTTTCTTTGTTCTTCCTATTCAGTGCCCAACCTTCACATGCACAGGAAGCAACTGAAAATGCCACAGCTCGCAGCAGGCACGACGTGGGCTTTCACATACCCTTGCTCTGTAGTAACAGACTTCTCAAAATCAATGCATCTTTAGATTTCTTTCTTTTTTGTCATCTTTTGGTTTCTTGACTTCTGTTTCCAAGGGTGTTGACTGTAGATTCAAGTAAACAAAAACCTTGACAATTGCAGTCCCCCCCCTTTTATCTTGATGCTGCTTATAGGTCCATCTTCAAATGTTTCATTTCATTTTTTAACAACTTGCAATTTGTCTTAGTCCACAGCTTGTGAATAACTCATTTGGACTATTAATGCATGTTTTCTGCCCTTTCATGATATTTTAAGTCATATCACATACAAACAAAGGTCCCAAACTTTGATTCCATTTACATCATTAGTGCTGGCTCTACATGGAGGAGCCACATATTGTTAGTGCCTTCCAAACTGACAGACTTGTCTTCTGACACTTTATCAGACAATGTTACGCTATTACATATAGGCACTTTTTTGTTTCAGAAGTAGATCATCAAGATCTCCCCACTTTGTCTTAGTCTTGGGGCTGTGCTGAAACATGGGTGACCCTGCTGATATTTGAAAAACCAGTTGCACCTAATTGAGGCCATGGTCCTTTCAATCACTAGCTATGGGACAATGAATAAAGATGACACAAAAAGAATTGATGCCTTTGCTTTATGGTATTGGAGAAGAGTATGCAATATCCCAAAATAACAAAGAGATATATCTTGGAAAAAGTGCAGCCAGAATTCTCCTTGGAAGCAAGGATGGTGAAGCTTCATCTCATGTACTTTGGGCATGTTGCTAGTAAAGGTTATTCCTTGGAAAGAGACATCATATTTAGAAACGTGAAGGGTCAGAGAAAGAGCAAAAGAACCTCAACGAGATGGTTTAAAACAGTGGTAAAGTTTAGCAGGACGACAAGTAACAAATGCTGAGAGGATGTGGCGAGATAGTAACTCTTATACATTGTTGGTAGGATTGTAAAATGGTACAACCTTTCCTCAAAAAGCTGAGCATACAAAATCCATATGACCCAGCTATTCCACTGCTTGGAATCTATCCCAAGAAAATGAGAACTGAGGCACAGAGACTTGTACACCAATGTTCACAGCAGCATTATTCACCATTGCAAGAACATGGAAACAGCCCAAATGTTGAACCACAATGGAATGGATTGAGGCATTATGGTACATTCACACAATGGAATACTATGCAGCACTAAGGCACAACAGTTTTGTAAAATACTATATAACATGGGAGAATCTAGAAGGCATTATGCTGAGTGAACTAACTCAGTCATCTAAGGATAAATACTGCAAAGACCATTACTGTGAAAACAGAAATATGACTAGTAAGACGTAGATAAAAATCCAAAGGCAGGGGGCAGAGGAGAAGGGAGAGGAAGAAACCACTAGGATAAACACAGTGCATGTGAGTGAGCATTTGAAATACTATGTGAATGTAGGAATGTGTAAAATGCAATGTACTTGAATGATACACAATGTATGTAAATTCTGTGTGCAAACCACTATAAATTAAAAGTAAAGTGGAAGAAAAAGAATTGTAAAGGACAAAGGTTTAAGTCACAACCGAGATCTGAATGATGATTGTGATCCATTCGTGTCCATAAAACGACACAAATATATCCAGACGACAGTCTCCTAATTTGTAACTTGAGAAATCTTTTCATTAGTTCAAGAGTGGTAATAAGATGGCGAGCTAAATTTATAATGACATGCAACGAAAATTTTAAAAACCAAGCTGGCTGATAAGCCATTTCAATTGTGCTAGATGCCAGAATCAAGCCTACTTGTCCACAGCAGTGATTTTCAAAACTTGATTTTCATGACAATGCAGAGATTTTTCTACATATGACGTTATTATCACATAACTGATAATTGCCAAGAGAAAAGAGTGGCTTTCAAAGTCAGAGGACACGACTTGGCAGCTCCTCTCATTTAATGGGTTCTTCCCAAAAAGATCCACAGCCGGGAAACATCACCGTGGGCTGCTGTGAGTCGGAACCATCTGGATGATAGTGGGGTTTTGGTATCTTTTAATGAGGCTGCATTTTCAAGAGAAAAATAGACTAAAAAAATCAGTAATTGTGTATGCCCCAGAAAGAACTAGTTAGCTGACATTCATTCCGTCAGTTTGCAAGATTAAAAAGTTTTATTTCTGAATTACTGCCACCACTTCAAAGCTCATGGCTGTCTTTCTCAGTCATTTATTTGTTTCACAGAGAATAGGTAAATACAGGAAAGTAAGGTTGTTTATTTTACAAATGTGAACGTGTGTGTGTGTGTGTGTGTGTGTGTGTGTGAAGAATAGTAACAGAATAATTTTTTCTTTAAAACACATATATTTTACACACCTTATCACTGACAGTTGCCACTGATAAGAATTGTTTACCAGGGCAACATTACACTAATAAGTTATTAATAAGCAATTGTAAATGAGATTTTTAGAAAGTGCATCAACGTGAAACAAACAGTATGAGCATTTTTTAAAAAATTTAAGCCTGTTACATTTTTCTCCTGGGCTTCATTTTGAAACAGCAATTCACTTTCAAAACAAGCTCAAAGCTTTTTCATTTTCTCTTTAATTCAAAATCCCATTGTCTGCTACCTGCAGCAATTTCCAAATGGAAAAAGATGCCCCGCAGTTTAGCTTCTTTTACAGAAAAGATTTCTATAAGAAAGAAGAGTAGGTGAAAACACAACAGTAGAAAGATGGATAAAAATAAAAACTGGAAAAATCTAAAAACGTTGACTCTCTAAATAATGGGTGTGTTCATGGTTTGGTTTGTTTTTGTGTTTTTTTTTCTTTCCAGAATTTGAGCTATATTGCTCAACTGTATAGCTATGTATAATCCTATACCGCTTCACTGCATATCTTTACCACATTTGGATGCAAAAATCTCTATAAAAGTAGAAAATAAGCGGAAGACACAGACACACTAAATTCACAGTAATGGTTGTTTCAGAGGTAGAAAGAAGAGTTTTGGGAATAGACATGAACAGCAAAGCAAGCATCAACTTTATCTGCAATATTTTAGCCTTAGTGAAGAGAGTATTAATAATCACTAAGTCTTCAAGATGGGTGATGGTGTTATGTAACATCAAGTTGTCTGTGACTCATAGCCACCCTATGTTCAACAGTTCTGAACCTTGCCCTATCTCGAGCCAGTCACCTCATTCAAGTCTTCCTCTCTTGTGCTATATCCTCTCTCCTTCTAAGCATGATGTCCTTCTCCAAGGACTGGTCCCTCCTGGCCTTGTGCCCAAAGTATGTGAGACAGAGCTTCATAATCTTGCCTCCAAGGAGAAACATGATTTTACCCTCTCCAAGACAGACCTATTTCTTTCTCCTGGTGGTCCACTGTATGTTCAATACTCTTCTCTAGCACCACAGCTAAAAGGCAGCAATTCTTCTTCTGTCATCCTTAGTCGCTGTCCAGCTCTTTGACACATATATGTGTGTGTATAAATAATGGGTGGTTGTTGTTATGTGCCATCAAGATGCTTACGACTCATATGTTTAACAGCCTTGAACCCTCCTCTACCCTGTGCCAACCTTATTATCTCTGATATAACTACCCTCATTATCTCAGTCACTGAAGCAATCCATTTCACTGAGGGTCTTCCCCTCCTGCACTGTCCCTCCACCTTCCCAAGCACGATGTCCCTCTCCAAGGACTGGTCCCTCCTTGTAATATGCTCAATGTCTAATATGCTCAATGTCAGTTAAGCTTCAGAATCCTTGCCTCCAAGGAGCAGCCTTGCCGAGATGAACCTGTTTGTTCTCCTTGCAGTCCATGGTATATTCAATACTCCTCTAGCACCATAACTCAAAGACATCAATTCTATTATCCCTAGTCATTGTGCAGCTTTTTGATGCATAGCAAAGACCTTGGCCTGGATCAGGTGCACCTTATTTTCCAGACTGACATCGTTTCTCTTAAGTACTCTGGAGAGATCCCTGACAGCAGAAATTCTCAATGCAATTCATCTTTTGATTTCCTGGCTGCTAGTACCAAGAGTGTTGATTGTGGAGCCAAGCAAACTGAAGCTGTCAACAATCTCAATTTCATCACTGTCTATCATGATGCTGCCAATCCACCCAGTGATAGTCTCTTTATACTTATCTCTTTTTTTCTCTCAAAATTTAAAAAATGCATTAGTTAACCTATGAAAATTAGAGCCTACTTCTTGAACTGCCATTTGTGAAGCATTGTAACTGATCAATAAACAGTGTTTATAGAATATTAACAAATTCCGGCTTGCTCGACACACACGATAGGGTATGGAAACCGAGCTGACGGGATTTCACCTGCGCGCAGATTCATTCTCCCAAAGCCAGCAGCACTCCTGCCATGACTACATCTGCAGACACCACGCTAACAAAGTAATGAGCACTTGGGGATTACTTTAAGAACAGACAAGGGAGGTACGCGCTACTCACTTGGTATCTTTGACATCATTACGTGAGTGATTTTGACAACGCTTTTCAGAGATGAGATGTGTTTCTGTCTTTTGAATGTGTGAATGTCCCTTCCAACGAACAGAGCCGCTGCCAGCGAGAAGCTGCAGGGCCTTCCTACCTGCTCTTTCATTTCTGCGTAGACCTTCTCCGAGTTCAGCTCCACCTGCCGCTTAAACTCTTCCAGCGCAGCATCTGCCTGTTGGGCCTGCAGCCTCTGTACTTCAGTGACGCGAGCGAGCTGTTCCTCCTTCTCCCTACAAAAGTTCAGGCAAGCTTTAGGGTTCTAATGGAAAGCCGAAGAATTAGGCTAGAATAAGAGAAGAATATTCAACGCCAGTCAATAAAATTCCACGGAGTGTTGGGTGGTAACCACAAGGCTGCAGGTCTCAGGCAGTCTGAACCCACCAGCGCTCTAAGACCAGCAGTCTCCGCCCAGGAAGATTTATGGTCTCAGGAAGCCAACGAGTGGTTGCCGCGGCTGAGAATCAACTCAAATGGAGTACAAGAAAACAAGAACCAAAATTTATATTTCTTTTTTAAAATCTAATTCCTTTAAAACATTTCTGTAAAAAAAAAAAAAAAGACGCCTAGTGGCAGGAAACTGCACTGCAATCCCAGAGGTGCGTGGTTCAAATCCACCAGATGCTCTGCTGGAGAAGGAGGAACAATCGCCTCCTGTACCAGTCAGATCCAATTTGACGGTACACACATAAAATAAATAAATAATAAAAAAATAAAATAAAAAAGACAATAAAATAATTCAAATCTAAAGAAAAGGATCATAATTAATAATTGAATAACTTAATAATAAAAGAATTTAATAACAATTAAAGAATAATTCAAATCTACATATTCTGATAAGGGCATCATTACTTGTAAAAATTTTCCCAAAACAGAACTGTTCATAACTGTTAACGCCATCAAACATAATTCAGTTAAGAGAGACACGAAATTCTGGAACACGCTACCACATGGTTGAACTTTGAAAACACTCTGCTAAGTGAAACAATTCAGTCACAACACACCATCTGGTATATGATTTAATCTTCAGAAATTGCTGAGAATAGGCAGATTCAGATCCTACTGGGAGGGACAGTTAATGATAAAAGGTTTCTTACTAGGGGGATCAAACCTAAGTTTAGATAGCAGTAACATTATGCTGTAGAACAAATCTACTAAAAACAACATCATTTTAAAAGCTGAATTTTAGTTTATGAAACTGTGTCTCAATTAGAGTATCAACACAGTAAAGTTCAATGGAAATATTGACTTAACAAGTGACCAGCAGGAAGGAAGGAGCAACATGGTGACCCGAAAGCCTTCCAAATGCCCTCTTGAAGGTGTGCTTTAAAAAACAGATAACTCTCTCATTTTTTCACACCTGAACAGAGTCAATAAAGCATTCTTTGTATTCTGACAATAAAAAGGAAGCCAAACTCATTGCCATCAACTTGGAAACAACTCAGAGCTGACCCTCCAGTGGGCTTTCGAGAGGCTGTAAATCGCATGAGAGGAGATTACCCATCTTTCCACCGCTGAGTTGCTGGTGCCTTTGGGTTGAGCCGCACAAGTTCATACGGACCGTCACCAGCACCTTCTTGCATATTGATGGGAAAATAAATACTTTAGCTTATGGACAACTGTTGTTGTTGTCTGTCATGTTTCAACTGCCTCCCTTTGAGAGATGGGGCAATCATGGAGAGACCGAGGTTCCCACCGCGAGTCGGGACACAGCTCGTGTGCAGATAAGCAGCTGTAGTGGACACACAGCATGTGAGCTGTTTTCCTTTCTTTTTCTCCTTGAGTATCACATGCATCTGTTTATCTCTTTATATCCACCCACAGTAATATTACATTCTCTTGAAGAGCAAAGCAATTTTCCCACTGAAATGTCCTTTTCTTGGAGTGTCTGTTTCACAGGCATGGCACTGTTTATATGGTCCACAGAGTTGAATATTCGGCCCCAACAGAGGCTATGATACTCACTGCATACTCTGATGGTGATGGAGAAGTCTAACGTGGTCTGATGCCACTTCATCCTATATATAAGTCAGCTCTGAGTCTGTTCCAACTCAACAGCACATAACAACAAAAGCAACAACATAGGTCAGATCAATTGTTTTGCCCTTGAATAAGAGCAAATATGCATCTCTTCTGGGTGACCGGTCAGGAAACTGTCTTCCAAAACTCATGGCACAGGCTGGCAAGCATGCGCAGGGCTGCATCTGTTGAAACATGCCAATTTTGTTGAAATAGATATTCCTTCAATTGCTGGGCCCTTATCTAACTACCAATGCCTTCAGTACACCTGGAACTCTTCTTTCAGTGCTATTTGTTCTTGATCATATGCTACCCCCTGAAATGGTTCCGTATTGACCAATTCTTTTTGGTACAGTGAATATGCATTCGTTCCATCTACTTTTAAAACTTCCTTCACCATTCACAATTTTGTCCATAGTAAGCCTTCAGTATTGTGGCCTAGTGGCAGGAAACTGCACTGCAATCCCTAAGGCACACAGTTCGAGGCCAGGCACTCTCCTCTCGTACAATCAACTGCCTCTGAAAACCCGATGGAAAGTCAGCTATGGGTCAGTTCCAACTCTATGGTACACAACAACAGCAAACATTGTAATGCAAAGCTTTCATTTGTTTTTTAGTTATTTCAGCTTGAAAAATGCTAACCTTGTCCTTTCCCTTTGATTTGATTCCCTGTAGCTCTTTGCACTTTTATTAGAGTATTTTGCTTTGTCATTCAAGCTGCTCTTTGAAATCTTTTGTTCAACCCTATTACCTGAGCATACTGATCTTTTGTTTTGGCTTCTTTTCATTCCACTGTCTCTTTTAATACCAATTTTGGTCTTTTCTTTCTTACAAAATTTTGTAATGACCTTCTGCTTTCTTCTTGGATGATGTTCTTGATGTCATCACACATCATCTAGCTTTTGGTCATTAGTGTTCAATGCATCAAATCTATTCCTCAAACTATTTGGATTTCTTTGAGTTGGGATAAACTGAAGGTGCTATCTTGGTTCTCATGGACTTGTTTTCCCTTTTTTTCACCTTCAATGGTGGTCTGTTCTGCCTTGTTCTTACCACTGAGACTGAGCTTCTCCAATGTCTCTTTCCACAGATGTAATAAATCTATCTGATTCCTGTGTAGTCCATTAAGTGAGGGCAATATGTATACTGTTTTTATTTTTTAAAAAAATATCTACAATGAGTAAGCCATGGCTAATACAAAATTCTATTATGCGATTTCCAATTTCATTTGTCACTAAAGTAATATTTTCTAACAACTTTGTCTTCTTCTTTGTTTCCAACTTTTGCATTCCAGTCACCACTTATTACTAACGTAGCTTAATTTCTAACAGCAAAAGTTGGGAGAAATTCAAATCTCCAAAATGATATATCTCCAAAGTGCTAAAGAGCAAAGATATCAGTTTAAAGACTACAGTGTGTCTGATCAAGTCACGATATTTTCAATTGCTTCCTATGCCTGTGAAAGTTGGAAAATGACTAAGGAAGACTGAAGAACAACTAACTGATCCCTTTGAATTCTGATGTTGGAGAAGAGTATCAGCTATACAATGAACTACCGAAAGAATAAATAAATCTGTGTCAGAGGAAGTGCAACCAGAGGGCTCCTGAGAAGCAAGGATGGTGGGACTCTGCTTCACGTACTTTGAGCCCATTTCAGAATTGACCAGTCCTTGGAAAGAGACACCATGCTGGGAAGGGCTGAGGGTCAGCAAAGGAGAGGAAGTGCCTCAATGAGAAGAACTGACATAGTAACAGCAATGGGCATGAACCTGCTGAAGACTGTGAGAGTGGCGCAGCACAGAGCATAGTCCAGGTCTGCTGGCCACAGAGTCACTGTGAGGTGTAGTCGGCTTGATGGCACTTACAAAACAACATAGATAAGAATCAAATCAACAGCACCAAATGGTGACAGTTTATATCTGCACTGACTATCTTATTTTGGACATGTCACCAGAAAAGATCAGGCACTAAAAAAAGACAATGGCTGAGGAAGTAGAGTCAGTGAAAACAAGGGAAGTAAAAAGTGACACCAGAGACAATTAAATATACAAATAACCCTGAAGACGGTGCAAGACTGAGCAATATTCCTGTTATGCACACGGTCGTGATTAGTTGGGGCAGACTTGATGGCACCTTCTGAGAACGAACAACAACAGTACTGTGCCAAAGAAGAAGGATGCACTTTGCTTCAGGTTAGTCCGAGTCAAACACTGAATTGCTTCCACTATTCAACTATTTAAATATAAAAGCTGCATATGGAAACAACAAATTCTATCAGGTACCATGGTCTAGACCTGGTCTAAATCTTCAACTAACTGGAAAACTCAAAGACTGTGAAATAGCAGTCTGTCCATCACATAAGATCAGCATTACTTATTTTACCATGATTCTAAATAGTATGTGAACACACACACAAATAAAGACTTTGAAGATTATTTTTTTTTCCAGAGGATCTAATTGTGGGGCCAAGTACAAAAGCACCACTCAAATGCCTTAAAGCTGAGCATTCATGAAGATAAAAAAGTGGGAACTGAACTTTCTTTTTAGCTCAAATTTATTTATAAAATGCAATAAATATTCCTCATCTGAGAATATAAAAGAGAAAGGAGAAAAAGAGTGCTGCATTCTTACACAACCACAAGACAGCTCAGATTAAAGGGTTCACTGAAGGACATGATTATTCCAAAAAGGAAACAAAATGGAGGGAGCTAATGCATAACAACCCTGTGTTTTTTGAGCTTTACAGGCTAATATTTATATGTACAAGTCAGTCTTAATGAGCAAGTCTTCCTTATGCACATTCTGGACCAGCACTTTTGATAACTGATGGCATCAATCCATGTATATTTATAAGGTATCACATCACAGTGAACTTCACGTGCTGCCAGCTTGGCATCTCAACTGGAAACTCCAGCAACAAAATAAAACACGAAGAGTTCAAACAAGTCTGAAAAACAGCTAGATGAGACCACAGTCTCTTTCCAACTACAAAACAAGTCTTTTAAGCAGCAATATTATCAATATTCATAGTTGCTGAATGGTACTTGAATTAATTCTAATGAGTCAGTTAAAAAACATAAAAGAGACAACTATGACCTAAAAGGCCTTAAATGAATCAACACCTTTGTTCTCTCCTCTTCTGAAGTGTGGTAAACTCTATTTTAAAAATTGGTAAACACTGTGGAGATTTAGACATCTGGAGCTTCAAGATTCA